CCTGCCCGACGCGATTGCCAGCCCAACTCAAGGAAGCTTACCAAGCTAGAAGAGGAGGTTATAGTTAATCATATACCAGACCTTGATTTACGTGGATTTTCGCCTACCTACGCTGCTGTGCGCGATATGGCTAATAAGCTGCTAGCTGCGCGCGGCGCTGGCCAGGTTGGCGTCCACTAGCCGCGCAACTTTGTCAAGCGTACGGACAGTCTTACAACGCGTTTCAATCGAGCGTACGATAGGCAGAGAGCTCTCTGTGAAGATTTAGTCTTACTTAAGAGCTAGTTTGAGCTTGTAGCTCAGACAAAGGCCAAGTATGGCATCTGTGACGAGGACGTCTATAACTTCGACGAAGCTAGCTTCTTAATAGGCAAGATCACCACTCAGCTTGCCGTCACAGCATCAGAGAGAAGAGGCCGACCAAAGGCTGTCCAGCCAGGTGGCCGAGAGTGGGTGACGTTTATCGCTAGGATTAACGCAGCTGGCTGGTCTATCCCACCATTTCTAATCTTTACTGGCAAGTATCACCTCTCTACCTAGTATAAGGAGGCAGAGATCCCACGCGACTGGGCGATCGCAGTCAGCGATAATGGCTAGACGACCAACGAGCTAGGAGTTGAGTGGCTAAAGCACTTCATTAAGCATACAGATGGCAAGGTTGTTGGGGCACGCCGGCTGCTTATTCTTGATGGCCATGAGAGCCACTAGTCACTCGAGTTCTAAGAGATCTGCAAGGAGAACAATATCTACACGCTCTGTATGCCGCCTCACTCGTCTCACCTACTCCAGCCTCTTGACGTTGGCTGCTTCTCGCCGTTAAAGCGCACGTACAGCCGTGAGGTAGAGAGTCTGATACGCCACCATATCAACCACATCACTAAGCTTGAGTTTCTACTAGCGTTTAAGGCAGCTTTTAATCAATCATTTATATCAGCCAATATCTACTCAGCTTTCCAAGGCGCAGGCCTTGTTCCTCTCCAGCCAGACACTGTTCTATCAAAGCTTGACGTGCAGCTACGTACGCCAACTACGCCAGCTCTACCAGCTCTCGCAGAAGCTCTCTAGCAGGCCTGTACACCAAGCAACGTACGCGAGCTTGAAGCTCAATCGACGTTAATACGTGATCGCGTTCAGCGGCATCAAAGCTCATCGCCAACTTCAATTATTACGGCAACTAACCAGCTCAAGAAGGGGGCTGAGGTAATAATGCTCTCGGCTGAGCTGATGAGCGATCGGATCGCCAGCCTTGAGAGGGCTAACGAGGCAGCGACGAAGCGTAGACAGCGCAAAAGAAAACTGATACAGAAGCAAGGAGTGCTAACAAAGCTGGAGAGGATCTACTCGCTCAGCGCGAGGCTGATCAGCAGATTGCTGATGAAGAGCGTCAGGGAGGGGAGCGATCAGGTGTCAGCCGCCAGGCTCTAGCGCGCTGTAGTAGGTGTAGAGAGACTGGCCATAA